GAAGTAGCTGGTGTTGGATACAATGAGATTATTACTATTACTATTAGATATAATTAAATTAATTTATTAGTAATAATAAATGTCAATATTTATTTAAAATAACAATGATAATATAGAGATAATATTACTTTTATTAATATTTTATTGGATAGTTGAATTAATGATATGATTTAGAAAATAATATATATATATATATATATATATATATATATATATATATATATATATATATATATATATATATATATATATATATATATATATATATATATATATATATATATATATATATATATATATATATATATATATATTTGATTTCTTAGTTTGACTTAATATTATAGTAGAAATAATAATATGTTTTAACAATAAACTAAAAATAAAGGATTAAGCTGATTTACTTATAAGAAGGTGAAGAGAGAATAGAGAGTGGGAAACATATGTGAAAGAATTGGAAAAGGGAGCGTTGGGGTAAATGGCAAGGGTAGGAAGAAAAAGAAGACCATTATTGTAGAAGAATTTGGAACTTAAAATTATATGATAGAGGGGGGGGGGACTATTTCTATAAGGGTGTTTAATCATTATATGATAGAGGGGGGGGGGGGGGGGGGACTATTTCTATAAGGGTGTTTAATCATGAGAGGGTAGTGAGAGGTCCTTACCCTCTTAGGTTGGTCTTATGCCATGTTATGATTGTTGTTTATTTGTGACCATGATCGTGAGGAATGAGTTGTAATTGTTGCGACTATAACAATTGATATTTTTTGATGATGAATTTTGAATTGTTGTTGAATTTTATGTTTGTTGTATATTAAAGGTTTGAGATGATTATTAAGATGATGATAGGGTATGGAATCATGAATTTATTGGTGTGATTATAAGAATATAAGTGGTGATTGATATTGATATGTTTATGATTGAGTTTAAAACCGCGAAATATTTGTGGTGATGATTTCATGAATGTTTTTGGGGTTGAAGAATATGAAAATCGTGTTGAAAATTTCAGAAAAATAACTTATTAGTAATGCCTTCGTGCACGGGTTTGATCATAACTTTTAACCCATAAATTATTTTGGGATGGGGTGTGAAGCGTTGGACAGCGGAAATAAAGTGCTATAACTTTGATTCATGGATAAAATATTTTTGGTAATGACTACATGGACGTTTTTGGGGTTGAAGAAGATGAAATCCGTGTTGGAAATTTTAGAAAAACAACAACATTTTAGTAACGTCTTCGTGCACTATTTTGATCATAACTTCCAACTCTTAAATCATTTTGAGACGAGATTTAAAGAGTTAGGTAACTGAAACAAAGGGCTATAACTTTGTTTTAGGGAACAAATATTTTTAACTATTTCATCAGAGGTCGGAAGCAGGTGGAAAATAAGCGTATGATGTGATGAATGCGGACGAGGTTCGTATTGACAAATTATTTGATGTGTTGTGAATGATTGGGATGATATGTTTGATTATATTGGTCGTAGCAAGGGTGGATTACATTAGGTATGATTGCAATTGTATGATCGACGTGGATCACTAAATATTATTATAATTATGTTAATTGCATTATTACCATGTCATGCATGAGTTGTTGATATGTTGAAGGAGATAAGTCATAGGTTCAAAGGGGGAGGAAAGACTTATCCAGAACTTAGAAGGGGGAGTTTGGGATTCCGAAGGGGGAATCAAGTTCATATGATGAACCATTGATAAGAATTTGTACCACATGCATCGTGTAATATTGTTGGGTCTCATTGCATTGTAGTTATGTTGTGCTTGTGTATTTGTTGTGGTGAGAATGTGATTGTGAATGAATGTGATTTGTGTGTATAAATACTACTCTCTTAATTATTATACACTGTTTATTATATGAATGAATTTCTCATATCTTTTGTATTTGTCGTGTCTGTGCTCCTTCGGAGTATAGACAATCAGTTACCTGAATAGTTAGAAATGTACCTTATGTTGCTATCGGTCGAGTCTATTAGTGAAGTTGCTCTGATACGTAACATCGAGGAACATGTTGTTTTCTTTATGTTAGCCAATTACATATCTTTTAATTTAAAGTAATTATTGAACCACTTTTGGTGTCGGCGATTTGTTGAGGCTATAAATACCATACTTTTGTTTAATTTCGCTGTTTGGACTATAATTTTTGATTAAATGAAGTAACATTTAAACTTCTTGGATTGTGAAGTGACATCATACTTGGATAGAATTATATTTTATTAATTAATTATTAAATCGAGAAGTAAGGTGTTATGTGACTTCTGAGTCAATTTAAGGTTCAAACTTGCGAACACATTAGAAGAAAACCATACAAAATGAAAAAGATGGTGACTATGTTGCCAAGTAGGATACCACACGTGCATAAATAGACACCATTAATGAAAATTAGACGAAAAAGACGTCGAATTTTTACTATATTTCTAATCATTATATTTCAAACCATTAGATTTCACAATTATGATATTGAGAACTAATAAAGAGTTAATTTAATAAAAATGTTATTTCCCTTAATAGTTTTATTATATTTTTGAATCAGTGGGAACAAATTTAAATAAAACAATTTTAAAATGGATGGAAAATAATTGATTTCATATGATATCAAAATCGTTTTTTTCCAAAGAATAAAGTAGATTTTCATTTTTTTTCTTCATCAAAACAACTAGTTTTATATTAAGTTATTTTTTAATAAATCAAAGCACATTATTCATATCTTTAAATAAATAACATGGCAACACACATTATTCTTACAATTTTATTTTCTTGACAATTAAAGTACATCATTTGTACCAAAAGAACATCCTTCTTACATTTGAGTTTCGCTATAATCCAATTAGTTTCAAATAATTTTTTTTTATCATCATTTATTTTCCATCTTTATCTTTAAATATATATTTTTGAATATGATTTATTTGTTTATAAATATTATTTTAAGTCATTAGTTATATTAATTATTTCTTTAGCAACAATACTCTTAAAATATTAACTATTTTCTACAATTTGTAATAAATATTTTATAAAAATATAATTTAATTCTTTTATAAAAGATATAAAAGATAAAACTACAAAATTTAAGTTAATTATTAACAAATTTAATATAATAATAATTTTTCTTAAGTGAAACATGTTTTATATTTAAAGAGAATATTTTAAATAATCAAATAATCATAATAGTTATTAACGTTCAGACCATCTATCCGTTTTTTTAATGCACACAACAGAATAATATTTATGCATATATATTTTTTATGAGATATTTATTGTAATTCACATTAAAAAAAATATTAATTAGATACACTTAGTAGAATCAAAATCAAAATAAATAATATATACTCATAAAATATTGTAGTGAATTAAAAAAAATAGTGAAATCAATTGTATGTTTTTCCTTCTCCTCCATATACTTGCATACTGCTCAACTCTCTGAAATTGATTCTAAAAGAACTATTAACATATTTTGATTGTATAATATATTTAAATTTATATATGATTGTAATATACTTCGTTCCTTTTTAATTGTCATTTTCTTGATAGTTTTTGTTTTTGTTTTAATTGTCACTTATAAAATTTAAGATAATATTAAATGCAATTTTGTTAAAATTGTTCATAGATAGTTATTATAGAGAAAAAAAAGTAAAATAAATTTAATAATTAATTAAGAGTATTATAGATAAAAAAGAAAATTACTGTATAAAAAATAATAATATTGATTAACTTTTTTTATATGTGTAAAAAACTAAAAAGTGACACTTAAAAAGAAATTAAAAGAGTAGGATTTAAAAGAATTGTCCAACACTCAAAATTGATTTTGCTATCCTTGAGCACCTAAATTCATTGTCCACAACACACTCAACATGAAATATATTCCCTGTAAATAATATCTGAAAAATATACCCAATATTATAGGTAAAATTTCAACATAAACTTAAAAACATCTAAAAAATATTAATGAAATTTTAATGCAATATACCTAAAGAATATTAGTAAAGAATCAAAATAGGATTTTAATATATAAAACAAAACATATCTAAAGAATATAAATAGTTTACTTTATATTTTTTAATTATTAGAAACTTAAATAACTATAAAATTCCAAATTTAAACTAAGAATAAGATATTACTTTAATAATATTGATATTTGATAGTTTAACTTAGTTTACTTTAAATTATTAATTAAAAATAAAATTTAAACTAAAATCAATAAAAAAATTAAATATTAAAGAGAAAAAATATACACTATTACAATCAATTCATATTTTAATTTTTAAAATACTGATATAATATATGATAAATTAAAAAAATTTAATCAGTTGTATATGTATAATTTAAATTTACTATCTTTAAACTTAATATTAAATAGAGATGATAAAAATTTTAAAACAATAAAAATAAATTTATAACATTTGATATTTTAAAAAATACAAATATTTATTCACTTTAAGAATTTAGTATATCTTAAATTTCAAATTAGTCTGCGTAAAAAAAAATCAAATTAGTTTAACAAATTTTTTAAAAATTAAATATTAAAAACGCTTTGAAAATAAGATCTAACACATATCATTTATTGTTAACTTCACTGTTCGTTTTAAAAAAAACATCATCGTTAATTTTTTATTTGTTACAAAAAGCATAGTTAACTAATTCTTAAAATTCACAAAACACACGTGTATTTTTCTTATATATAGTTTTATTTTTATTTATCTATCTATATATCTATTATCTACAGGTACAATAATCGACGAGTCTTTTTCGTTTTAGGGTTCTTCTAAACTTTTCTTAAATACCTACGCCCTTTCCATTCTCCCCCGATCCAAATCCGTTTTACTCAATTATTTATCACACATCTTCAATTTTTCTTCTTCATTTAACCCTAAACAAAAAAAAAGAAAATTAGATAAACACTGTTTCAATTTTCTGCAATCGTTTTCGTTTTTTTCCTTCGTTTTTCTCTGAAATTTTGAAGCGGTTTTCTGTTTCTGGGGTTTTGCATTTTTATGGTAGAGATGGATGGATTTGGTGGCGGGGATGATGTTGGAGGACTTCCTAACAAACTAGATCTTCATCAATTAGAGGATATTCCCAAAGGTTTACTTCTGATTTTGTTTTAGGTTCAACTGTTTTTGATTTTTGATTTTGGTGTTTGATTATGTATTATTTGATTCAGATTATTTATGTAGATCTGGTATGTTTTATATAGTGATTTGCTTTTAGCATAATCGATAGCTAGAGTTGATAGTTTTGTAGAATTTTGATTTTTTTTTGTTGATTATTACTTAGGAATTGTATATTTTTTTTGATGAGTTTTTGTTTTCATTTTTGAGTTTGAGTTGTTGATTCAGTATATTTTCTCTACATGTCTTACTGTTTTTTTTGGTAGAATATTATTTTTATTTGCATTAATTTGTTCTCCATTTTAGTGTAAGACTTGCTACTATGCTTCAAATGGTCTTTCTGTATATTTCTGAAATAAAAATGCTTCTACTGTTTTGGTTTGCTATTTGCGACACTGCAATATGTAATTTTTCATGTGAATTAGTTTCAAGAGATTGGCGCTAGGTCTTTGACGGAAGCTTTTTCTTTATTCTTGCAGAAGGTGCAGTTTTTGATGCAACGCAGTATGCATTTTTCGGTCAAAATGCTCGCGTAGAAGAAGTTGAGTTGGGAGGGTTAGAGGATGATGACTGTTTGCCCGAGTCTAATGAGGAGGAGTTCCTTCTTAATAATAGAGAAGAGGTTAAATTCACTTTTGTTACCACAATTGTTTTTTTTTCTTCGTCATTTCATTTGAATTTTCTGCGCGCGTTTTTTTTAAAAATATATAAACTATTCTCTTTTAACGGTCTTTTGAATTTTACGATTACGATGCTAAAATTTTGTATGGACTAACTTTTTTTTTTTGAAATTTCAATTGAAGGTTGAGGATGTAAAATCGCTTTCTGATATTGATGATCTCAGCACGGCTTTTTGGAAGGTAAGGCTGTAAAATTAAGATATATTATGCTCTCGTGAATACTTGGACTTTTATTCGGATAAGTGATTGAATATTGTGATCATGACGCTATCTTAATTTGCACATTTGTTTTAAAATTAATAAATATGTACTTAGTGTTATCAAATATCCACAATTGCGGCGCTATGGCGGATTTGCGTGGCGGTTTTTGGGTTCGCCGCAATGGTAAATATCAGCCGATATTGCAGGTTTTTCCCGCCATAATCTGCTATAACGGCGCCGCAAAGCTGGTGGGATTTTGGCTCTCCACCCTAGACAACACTGCTTAAAGTTATATATTTGATTAAAATATATGTATCTGTAAAATTAATTTATCAAATATATGAGTTAAGACGTGTTTAAGAAAGAGGTATAAACGTTTTTTCAGTTATGATATATATTGCAGTCAAATGGAGCCCAATAACATCCTATTCTTAATTTGTAATATCCAAATCCGAGTTGTCTACATCTAGATTTTCAGTGTTTCCTCACTATCGATAATCAGCTCATCACCGGATATCATTAAGATTTTGCGCAAGAGTTTTTTTTTTTTTTAGGTTACTTATCATTATTAGTCAAATTTTAAATGCAAAAAAGTTAATAAGTCTTGTGATGATTACAATATCGTAATTTGCACACTTTAGTATAAAAATTATTAAGTCATGCATGTAAAGTTTATTTTTAAAATTTGTACATTCCTGAAAAATTAATGATTTTGTCGTATTCCTTTAAAAATGATTTTGTCGTATAATGATTCAATTGTATGTGTTATGATGTGTTTGTGAAAAAGTTAAAATTGAGTTTTCTGTTATTGAGATCAGTTAATAGTCGAATAAAGGCCAATAACAACCTATTCTTCATATGGAGTATCCCAATCCAAGTTTACTACACCTAGATCTTTAATGCCTTGATCACCACTAGCCATAAGTTCCATAGTCTTCTCAATTGGATGGAGTATCACTAAGATTTAACTCAAGAGTTTTTCTATCTTACTAATTTTTAATCAACATGACCAAATCATCATTCATTGAATCCCAATGCATATGATATGGCCACATGTGTTGGGAATTTAGACTTGTTTAGTTTCCAAGGTTTCTTAGCTGATTTTGATGAATTTACTTTGAAAACTGTGATGCTATCCCAGTTTCTCTTTTAGGGCAATAGCAGCCGTTAATTCCAGTTTCAGCCATAGCGGTTGTTGTGGTAATAGCATAGAAAATAGACTTTAGTGTTTTTTTAATTTTATTTTAAATAATAGAACTGAAGAGGCATCATGTGAGTTTCACATGACTTGATTTTAAAATAAAAAACTGAAGAGTTAGAGTTACTCCTATTATCAACCTAATGCGTAAACCTCTCAATTATAAGCTGTGATTTGCCCCCATTACTTTTCAACACGCTGTCCTCCATCTCCAACGAGGATGATAATCCACTCAATTCATTTTTAAAAGAAAAAAAGTTTGCTGTTTTTTTTTATTTGTCTGCAACAGCAACATATCCTTTTATATACTTGTTTTCTTTAAACTGCTATGTGGCTTCCGATACTTGCCTGCCATGATATCCACTATTTTCTGCGATCCTCTATTTATCAGAGATTCTTTGTTTTGAAACTGCATTAGTGGTGGTTGTTAACACCATTTTTTTTCTAGTTGCAGCATGCTGTTTTTCACGTTTTCTTTTTAGCGTTAGTTATTTCTATAGTTGACTCATTTTTTTTGGTAAGTTGTCCGCAATCTCTTTCATAATCTCTTCTGTGATGGAAAGAGATAAAGAAAGTTAAAGGAAAAAGTGGAAAAGCTAGTTCAAATTCAATGCTACTTTTATTTGAGTTGTTCCATTGGCATTTCCAGATTATTTCAATGTTTATCAACATCAAAATCTAAAAGTTCTTTCAAATACACAGTAGCTAGCTCTTTTATCTCTCTCTCTCTCTGCTCTTTGCATGCTCCTTTTTATGATTCACTTTTTGTTTTGATAATCATGCTCTTCCCTGTGAAAGTTTCCTCCTATGCATAAAAATCCATCGATTGATATTTTTTTCTCATTTTATTTCAGTTGAACAAGGTTGAAATTGGACCACAAAGCACAACAGTTATTGGTGCACAGGGATCAAGAGAAAGTGAGTATAACAATTATAAATATTTTACCAACTTTCATTTTCTTTTTATCAAAGCAAAACGATGTTCATCTTTCTCTGTTTTATTAAATATTATGCATTAATGCTTTAGAAAGGGATAAATTTTCTGAATTACTTTATAAATATGTAAGATGACATTGCGGCCTATGGTGGAAGTGTGGTGGTTATAATAAAAATAGTAGTTACAGAACAAAAGCTCATATCCAAAAAAACTGCAGTGTGCACATAAGAAATCTAATGTCTTTGAACTGGAGATAAGGAGGTAAAAGTAGAATGAAAACAAAGAATAAGATGGATATATCAAAATGAATAATGACCAAAAGGAAAAAAAAAGGATGATAATAAAAGTCAGGAGATAACAAGGTGCAGAATAGAAATAAAAAAGTGAATTGGAGATGATAAAAAGAGACAAAAGTTAGAAAGAAGACATAATAAAAATAGGAAAATTAGAGAGAAAAGAGCAAAGGATGCAAAACATATTTTAAAATTAAGAAAAATGAAAAAAAAAGATCGTTCACGGGAAAGTGAAGCTTGCTAGTAAATAGAAGTTGTCTGAGTAGGTTGCTTATGAAAAAAGGGCACTTGAATGAATGTAGGACAGATATTGAAATGTTCACTTGGGTTAGCTGAGAGTATGCTAACGAATAACACCTTTTGCTGAGAGATATGAAAAAGAGGCTTCCAGAAAACTTGTGTTTTCTGAATTATATGAGACCAGTAAACAAACATTGAATATAACAATTGCCAATGGTAGGATGTGGAGAGGAGAGAGCCATGAAGAATGTAGCATATGAGGCTGCTGATAAAGAGGTTGTTGTACAGCATTTTAGGTTATTTTTTACCCCCGCCATAGAAATTCCTAGTTTATGCCTGGTGAATGAAATTCCTCCATGTCATGGCTGCAATTTAATAACAATGGGTTGTCGGTTTGCATGTGTTTAATTAATTCACTTCTGAAGTTTGGTGAATTAAAATGAGGTATCATGTTTTGTGTTCAAAGTTACTGTATTCTTTGCATTTTAGCAGCTCTCTTCCAGCATTCCTCCTTTTTTACTGTTTACAATATATTTCCATTTGACTGAATTATTTATTTTGTTATATTATACTCAGATTCTACGGCTGAATGGACACGAAGGAATGATGATCTCAACTGGTTTGACCAGAATCCTTATGATAGTGAAGGTTCTCTGGATGGAATAAGACTGTCATCGCAGCCTTATTCTTCTCTTGCTCCTTTGCAAGAATCTAATTCCCTGTATAGAACTTCTTCATATCCTGAGCAGCAAAGGCAGCAACAACCCTACCTTCAACTTGGCTCAAATGAATCAGTTCCTAATTGGTTTGATCAGTCTTTTCGTGATTCTGAAACCCAGGATGGCAAACGATGGTCGTCACAGCCACATTCCTCCATTGCACACATAGAAGAATCGAAGTCCTTGTACAGTACATCTTTATATCCCGACAGACAACAGGACCTTCATTTTTCTAATGATTCTATTTTGGCACCAAATTCTTCTTTTACATCTTATCCTCCACCCAGTGGTAGATCTCAGCAGGCTTCTCCAAGTCATAATACAGGCCCCATAAATATTCCATATCATGCTGTAGGAGCTCAGATGGCTCTATCTCCTCAAAATCGTTCTCATTTATCGAATTCTGCACTACAGTTGGGTGGATTAAACCACGGGTCACCTTTTGGTGGAAACATTCGCCAGTTTCCTATGGGTTCCCCTCTTAATCAGCGAATACCGAATCACTTGGTCAACCAGGCAGGGTTATATAATGGAGTTCATCCCAATATTTCTTCTGGTTTACCAATGATCAACAAATATGATCAGATGCTAGGGATGATGGAGCTGAGGGATCAAATGCCAAAACCTGCTCCAATGGGTAGGCAGAATCTCCGATTTTCTCCTCAGGGTTTTGATGCGAGTAACCACAATAAATTCAACAATGGATGGCCCCGATTTAGGTCTAGGTATATGACGACTGAGGAACTTGAGAATATATTTAGGTTGCAGCTTGCAGCAACACATAGTAATGATCCATATGTAGATGATTATTACAATCAAGGTTGTCTTGCGAAAAAATCTTCAGGTGCTAAATTGAGGCGTCACTTTTCACCAGCTCAAATAAGGGAAATCCCTTTACGAGCTTCTGCTAATGAGCCACATGCTTTTCTTCAGGTTGATGCTCTAGGGAGGGTTCCATTCTCATCAATTCGCAGGCCCCGTCCTCTACTGGAAGTTGATCCACCAAATTCTTCACGTGCTGTTGGCCCCGACCAAAACATATCAGAAAAGCCTCTTGAACAGGAGCCAATGTTGGCAGCAAGGGTCACAATTGAAGATGGTCTTTGTGTTCTTCTTGATGTAGATGATATTGACCGTTTCCTACAATTTAATAAGCAGCTTCAAGATAACGGAGATCATTTAAAACGGAAAAGGAAGGGTCTTTTGGAAGGACTTTCAGCCTCACTTCAATTAGTTGATCCACTTGGAAAGAATGGACATGCAGTTGAACTTGCAGCAAAAGATGACTTTGTTTTTCTCAGGATAATTTCTCTACCCAAAGGTCGAAAACTACTTGCTAGGTACCTCCAACTACTTTTTCCAGGTGGGGAGCTTATGAGAATAGTCTGCATGACCATCTTTCGTCATTTAAGATTCTTATTTGGCGGTCTTCCCTCCGATCCAGCTGCAGCAGAAACTGTAATAAACCTTGCAAATGTGGTTTCAAAATGCATCCGCGGAATGGATCTTGTATCACTCAGTGTTTGCCTAGCTTCAGTTGTATGTTCTTCTGAGCCTCCGCCTCTACGCCCCCTTGGAAGCCCTGCTGGGGATGGAACTTCCGTTATTTTAGTATCTGTTCTCGAGAGAGCTACTGAGCTTTTAACCGATCCTCATGCTGCTAGCAACTATAACATTAGAAATCGTTCACTTTGGCAGGCTTCATTTGATGAATTCTTTGGTCTTCTCACCAAGTATTGTGTCAATAAGTATGACAGCATCATGCATTCATTTCTCAGTCAAGGGACATCAAATGTGGCGGTCATTGCGCCTGATGTTGCTAGAGCTATAAGTAGGGAAATGCCCGTTGAGCTTTTGCGTGCAAGTCTACCTCACACTGATGATCGCCAGAAAAAAATATTACTTGATTTTGCTCAGCGTTCTGTAGTTGGATATAATAGTAATTCTGGGGGTAATGGTCATCATGTAAACTCATAGTCTGTGGCAGATTACTTAGATAACGAGACATTCATCTAAGGAGCTGTTTTCAGTGTAGAATGGCAGTAAATTTCATAACCTTATGTTTCTAGTTGCTTTGGAGCAGTTTGATGTGAAGGTATCAGGTGCATCTTACCTTGAAAGTGTTTTATCATCCTCATATCCTTTACTTGTTAATGCCATGTAGCACTATGATAAATTTGCAATCAGGCCCATTGTGTATTATGATAGTCTTGGCTTGATTTGTTCCTCTTGTCTTTTATTTTCTTTCGACAGGGGGAGCTTTTTGTTACTCAGTTTGTTGTTTCTAGGGAACTTTAGTGGGGTAGTATTTCCAGGATTAGGTTTAAGCTTGATCCTCATGGTCCTTACTAATTATCATAAAGGCATGGGATTTGTTTTGTCCATTACTCCTTAATGTCTACCTTAATAGGTTTCACATGTCCAAATTTTGAAGCAGCATTGTGGGGTTGGCCAATTTGACCATTGTACAAGGTGGCATTGGCATAATAATAAGTTCTGTCAAACTTTTTTCCTTGGTGTTAATGGGTTTAGTTTCATCTTCTCTTACGACTCAGTTGCTGTAGGTGCGTAGTTTTGTACCGTTTCTCGTTCTCAGTCTATTGGAGTTTTATTGGTCTATCTTGTCTTTGCTCAAGTTTTTTCTTGGATTTCATTTCAGTTTGACAAATAATTTGGCATTTTGATGATGCATTTGCTAGTTTTAGTTATATAGGCAATACAAGGAATTTTGCTATCACTGAAAATATTGGAAATACTGTTTTGAAGATGTATTGATTAGTTCATTATCTTATTGTTAATTTATAGAATAGTATGGTGAGTTAATCTGGTTGCCGAATCCGTTAAAATGATATGGATTGATTCAGTTATCTGATTTATATTATTTCGGTATTGAATTATAAGCCAATCACATTAGATTGATTCTGAAATTTATCTTTTGTCAGTATCAGTATGTAAGATTCTCTTTCGTTTCTATTTAATTTGACATTCCCATTCAGTATTATGAAGAATACAAGTTTATTTCTTCCCATTTATTTGTCTTCAATCCAATTGTTTAGGATACTCGGTTTGTATTCAGTCAGAGTTTTTTCTTTGTTTTTTGAGTCTATTGGTTCTTTTCTATGACTAGTAATAAGGTTTTAATGAATGAAAATGGTGAAATAATATAAATATTTGTGGATTTCTTTTTCCTTGTTTATTGGCGTCTTTTTTCTGATGTAATTGATTTTATTTTGGGTTCGAATCTTGCTGTATATGACGGATCTATATTACATTGATAATATTGCACATTATTTAAAGAAAATTCTTCATTACACTGTATTATTTGCCCACTATGGTTAAATTCGAAAACTTTTTTTTTTACACTGCCTCAAATTTGAAATTCCGATTCACCACAAGACTACAATTTCAATCTCAGAATAATGTCAAATACAAGGAAAAAAATGTCTGGTTTACAAAATTCAGAGTCACACTTGTGAAATCTGGATTTACCATATGCATACATATAATACACTTTCAATACAATTTCTCTTGTGTGTTCAGAGATTGAAATCCGGATTTTTCATAAGCATATACATATTACACTTTCAATATAGTCTTAGGGGTTTGTCTAAATATTAAAATTCAAATTTACTCCAATTGTTATCACAATTAAAATTCACAATAGAACTTTAACATAGATTATCACTTACACATGATACATAACTTATCATATATTTAAAATAACACCTTGGACCATAACATTAACTTGGTATTTAATCACTAATAGGTAATTTAGGATATTTCATCATCTTTAAAATATTATTAGTTGATCTTGTGTTGCATATCTCGATAGACCTTTAGTTACGTAATGATGAAATGTACTTCACATAACACTTACATCTGTATTTGTTTTAAGTTCAAATTTATTGAAATTGATCTTCCTTTCATTATCAATTGAGTGAACAATACACAATTTTAGCCACTCTTTGATTGTCGGTGTAATAGAAAAAATTCTCTAGTTTAGGTTAAGATTTATAAGATTTTTTTTGGTGATCTTAAATTCAAAAGGAGGTCTTATGCCATTGAAATAAATAAATGCAATATATCAATATCGATTTATTTTGGAGTATTTATGTTAACAACATATGAGACATTTACATAAATTTTAGACCATACAAATGCAATTTTGTCTCAGGGTGGAGGCTCTTGTAGATACTTCTTGATCTTCTCAAATGCAGAATGGCAGTTCTCGTTCCATATCACTGTTTGATCTTTTCGTAACAACTTGAAGATCGGTGTGCAGGTAGGCGTCAGATTAGAAATGAACCTGGAGATGTAGTTTAACTGTCCGAGGAAACCTCTGACCTGTTTTTCCGTTTGAGGACCGGGCATTTCTTGAATTTCTCTGATTTTATCGGGATATACTTCAATTCCTCGTTGACTAACAATGAAACCGAGTAGTTTTCTTGAACGAACTCCAAAGGTGCATTTAGTCGGATTTAGCCTCAATTGGTACTTTCGGAATCTTTCAAATAATTTCAGCAAATGATCCAAGTGGTCTTTTTCACTTCAAGACTTCGCAATCTTATCGTCTATATATACTTCAATCTCCTGATGCATCATATCATGGAAGAGCGCGACCATAGCTCGTTGATACGTTGCTCCTGCGTTCTTCAATCCGAAAGGCATGACCTTATAACAATAGATGCTCCAAGGTGTAATGAAATATGTTTTCTCCATGTCAGTTGGATCCATCTTTATTTGATTGTAGCCGAAAAATCCATCCATAAAGGAAAATACTGCAAAATTGATCGTGTTGTCTACCAGAGTGTCAATATGCGGAAGAGGGAAGTCGTCTTTCGGATTAGCTTTGTTTAGATTCCTGTAGTCCACACATTCTGACTTTTCCATCCTTCTTTGGGGCATGTACAATGTTGGCCACCCATTCTGGATATTTCGATACTGCTAAAAAGCCTGTGTCATTTTGCTTCTTGACTTTGTCTCGGATTTTGAGAGCCATGTCGAGTCTAGACTTTCAAAGCTTCTGCTTGACTGGAGGACAATCAGTTTTCAAGGGGAGTTTGTGCATAACAATATTGGTGTCTAAACCTGGCATATCTTGATAAGACCATGCAAATATATTGACGTAATTTTTGAGGAGTGCTATCAGTCTGCTCTTGACTTCTGACCCCAACGATGCTCCAATCTTGACTTCTCTCTTTTCTTCTTCAGAGCCCAAGTTGACAACATCGATCTGTTATTTGTACGGCTGAAGGTAGGCATCTTCGTATTCAGTCATCCTCCTCAATTCTTCAGAGATCTATGAGTCTTCATCGCTCTCTTCTTCGGCTTGAAAGACAAACGAACTACTACCAGAAGGAACCGAATGATCAATGGATTTTGTGGGTGATGGAGGTGTTCTGCATGGTTTTACAGGTTTGAGAATGATCACACACACACACACAGAGACATGCAGATGATGGGTTGTTTTTAAGTTTTCAAAAAAGTTGCCATTTTTCCTTTTAACAAAAAGAGTGAAAATGATAAGAAGAAAACAAAACAAGAGTTTTAACAAAAACACTTTTCATTCATAGATCTTCAAATTGCAAAGTGGCTCATACGAAATGCTTCACTGGCCTTGGGCAAGACCAGGATTTTAAAGAAAACAAAAGCTAACAAGCAAATGAATTACTCTAAAGGTAAAAAGACAGGGATTTCCACAGTTTCCCAGTTACGCAAAGCTGCTTTGCCTCGGATCACCAGGATGTCAAGGTTGCTTTCTTCATCTTCAGCTATGACGACATTCACTTGTACTCCGCCACTTGTGAATATCTCTTTCAAGGATTTCTTCTTCATGACATTTTCTTCAGGTGCATCTTCTAGAGTTGGTTTGTAACCCAACCCTTGTCGATCATTCTTTGCACGAGCATTAACTTTTATGACCTCCCCTCATCCCAATGGGAGTCCTGTCTTCATTGCAGCCTTTATACTCTGAACGGAAGCAAAAGATGGACCACGGGTTATTGCTGCCTCATCCACTAACACAACGTGGGCAATTTCCAAGGCTTGGAAAACAGTTTTAAGCGCGTCTTCATCAGCTTCTATGTATCTGAAGGAAGACAAGTTACTCACCATCAGATCCTCCTCTCCATGAATTATGACCAACTAGTCGTTGATGACAAATTTCATCTTCTGGTGTAGAGTATAGGTGACAACGCCTGCTGTATGTATCCATGGCCTTCCTAGTAGACAATTGTAAGCTGGGTTGATATCCATCACTTGAAAAGTGATTTCGAAGATCTGGGGGCCTATCATGATTGGTAAATCAACTTCCCCCATTGTAGTTCTTCTTGAGCCGTCGAAAGCTTTTACAACCTAAAGAGGTAGGCCTCATTTCAGCTCCTTGGTAGGCCAATTTGGTTAGAGTCCTCTTAGGCATCACATTGAGCGCAGATCCTGTATCAAAAAACACTCTGGCTAGTGTGTCTTCTTTACATTTGATATATACGTGTAAGGCATGGTTGTGCTTGCGCTTTTCAACTGTCAGATCACTATCGTCAAAGCTCAAGGTGTTTCATGTTGTGATGTTGGCAACGACTGAGTCAAATTGTCTTACTATGATATCCTTTGTCACGTGAGCTTGTGTCAATATCTTCATCAAGGTTTGACGATGCGCAAGGGAGCTCAACAGTAGTGACATGATGGAAATCTTAGATGGAGTTTGATTAAGTTGATCTACCACTCTGTAATCACTTCGGCGGATGATTTTCAAGAATTCTTCCTCGTCGTCTTTGAGGGACTCTTTTCCCTTGCCAGTGGGTTCCTTAGAAATTGCTTCTTTCGGGATGGCTTCTTTAGGAATAGCAGCATCAGCTTTAGGAACAACAGTAGTGGTTGATTGAGGAACCATAGGATTCGCTCAAGGTTGATATATTCGACCACTTCGGGTCATTCTACTTGCCTCAGCAATGTTGGTGACATTTTCATACTTCATTCCC